AGATAGACACATCATCAAGTCTTCAAGTCGATGAGATATCCAGCTGCGTGCGTGCCAACAAGGCATATCAGCTCGCCTAAAGCCTGTCTTCTCTTCGAATAAGTGTTATCAGTTGTGTTGAGGGACCAACTGATCAAATCAAGTCCATAATTATGGTTCAGAATATTTGTAGAGAGAAGCTCAGAAGCAGCTTCACAGACAGAGCAGCAAAGCGGAGAGGGAGAGGAGGGGAAAAGCGTCCGACCTCGGCAAGAGCAAGTGGTGATCTACCAGTAGATCACCATCAATGTATTGGGCATCCCTGCACCATTAGGAACCAGCAAGTCCTCTTAAACCCAGCTGCTGCCATGAGTCACCTGGATCAGAACCCTGTCTGGTATCACACGTTTGTACCCGTAGGTTGCAAAAGTGCTCAACCCCTTGACATCCTGTTTGTTGCCCCAAACGTTGGACTTGACAAATATTTTAGTGGGTTTGAGTCTTGGTTCCAGCATCAGGTCTGTTCAGATCCATCTCCAGGGTCTTGGTCCATCTAACCTGGACCTTTTTTCCGTTCTTCATATCCAAATGTCTCTAGTTTCAGGTTGGATGGTGCTGCTTGTGTCCAATAGTCTTTAAATCAGACCAGATGGACTGAGGTCTGGTTTTTGACTATTCCACTCCAGAATCTTTAACTGGTTCTCCTTAAACCAATGGAGTGTTGAATCTCTGTCCCAGTCTCAGATCTCTGGAAGATTCTTTCCACTCTTTCCAGTTTCTCAGTACCTCCTGAGAAAAAAAACCTCACCCCCCACAGCATGATGCTGCCACTGCCATGCTTCGCAGTGGTGAAGGTGGTAATCTTGTCTCAGACGTGTGATGTTCGTTCTCTCGGACCACAGCACCTTCTTCCACAAGTTTGATGTCTCCTTCCTATCCACACTTCTATGAAGTCCAGCTCTGTGCAAGTTTTAGAGGTCCTGTGGACAGGACCTCCTCCTCTCAGCTCCATCAGGGGGATCTTTGTCCTCCTGGATGTGTCTCAGATTAAAACCCTCGTTACCCAGTCCATCATCATTTAATTTCCTAATATTACGTCTTTCGGAGCTTTATGAGACATTCCAAGTTCTGAGACCCAGATCTGTTTTTGTACAGTGATTTGTCTCTGACCTGTGGGAAGAGGTTCTTGGTCTTCATGATGTTTTGCTTGGTCATAGATCTTTATTCCTTACTATACATCTTAGAATATTTTTTAAAATAATACATTTTTACAAGAAGGGGGACCAGAGGTTGTGCTCCAATTACAGGGGCATCATTTTCCTTAGCCTCCCTGGTAAAGTCTATTCAGTGGTACTGGAGAAGCGAGTCCGATCGTTGGTTGAACCTCAGATCCAGGAGGAACATTGTGGTTCCATCCTGCCCATGGAACACTGGACCAGCTCTTTACCCTCACTAGGTTCCTCGAGGGGTCATGGAAGTTTGCCCATCCAGTCTACATGTGTTTTGTGGACTTGGAGAAGGCATTAGACCGTGTTCCTCAAGGTACACTGTGGGGGGTGCTCCATGAATTTGGGATTGGAGGCCTGTTGTTACAGGCTGTTCAGTCCCTCAACAAGCGGTACAAGAGTTTGGTTCACATTGTCGGTAGTAAGTCGGACCCTTCAGGGTGGGAGTTGGACTCCTCCAGAGCCGCCTGTTGTCTCCGATTCTGTTCATAACTTTTAAAGACAGAATTTCTCGGTGCAGTCAGGGGGTGGAGGGAGTCCAGTTCAGTGGTCTCAGGATTCATCTCTGCTCTTTGCAGATGATGTGGTCCTGTTGGCATCATCGTGCCGTGATCTCCAGCTCTCACTGGAGCAGTTCGCAGCCGAGTGTGAAGCAGCTGAAATGAGAATCAACACCTCCAAATCTGAGGCCGTGGTCCTCAGTCGGAAAAGAGTGGATTGTTCTCTTCAGGTCGAGGGTGAGGTTCTGCCTCAAGTGGAGGAGTTCAAGTATCTCAGGGTTTTGTTCATGAGTGAGGGAAGAATGGAGCGTGAGATTGACAGATGGATTGGTGCAGCGTCTGCAGTATTGTGGACTGTGTACCAGTCCGTTGTGGTGAAGACCAGCACTGTAAGGCAAAGCTCTCTGTTTACTGGTCGTTCTACGTTCCTCCCCTCACCTCTGGTCATGAACTCTGGTAAGGATGC